CACTGGACATCATCAGGATGCCTGGGTAGCTCAGTCAGTTAAGCATCTGCCTTCAGCTCAGGTCATGATCCCAGGGTCCTGGGATCAAGCTCTGCATTGAGCTTCCTGCTCTGTGGGGAGCCTGCTTCTTCCTCTCCCTGCTTGTGCACTTGCACACACTCTTTCTCTCTCTCACCGATAGATAAAATCTAAAAAAAAAAAAAGACACTGGACAATAGGCAATGAAAGACAGGAACCCTGAGATGTAGGAAACAAGTGAGGGGAGCCCTACAGTTGCCCCTGCTGTATCTTGAGAGCTTCCACAGTGTACAAGGAAAGAACAGGCAGAGCCCAGCATACTCCCTCAGTTGACGGGACAGAACTGAGAGTCCAGGAAGATGGAGGCCACTACAGAGCACAGCACAGAGCTCCCAAGAGGAGAGAGCTGCACAGATGCTCAACTCCAGAGAGCTGCAGAGGTTCTCCTCCAGTGTCCGGGAGAGTACTGGCCACGCGTCTGGTCATTAAACAAAGATCTGTAGAGCTCACACTTCATTAATCAATATGTTGAACACCACATCAAGTACTAGTGATATACTATATGTTGGATAACTGAACATAATACTAAAAAAAATCAGTAGGAAGAGTGTGGAATCCCATTCCCTACTGTCCTGCCTCTGCCTCTCCTTATCACAATTACACCATGCTTTCTCCATCAGTGGCCCATAGATGGCGCCATTACCTTTGCCTGGACACAGAATTACTCAAGGCTACCACTTAGAATACGGTTTTTACAATGTGTGTGAAATCTGGTCCTCCTTAAAATTTTGTAGGATGGCATGAGAGTTATAATGGAATCCTGGCCTTCCAAGAATTCCAAACCCCCTTAATAAATGTAGCAAGCAATACTAGTAATCCCATCCCTATCCCTCATTCCCAGGCCAGGACCCATGAGGCTTCTGTAAATGCATAAAGTAGGGGGATTCTTTGAACAGAGAGAGACAGGTGATGGCTTTATGGAATGGCCTTATCCCCAAACAGCAGATGCGGACAATCAGTCTTGGCCTACAGAAACCAGCCAGAGTGGAGGTGGCCTCTCTCCCACCAGCTGTGATTGTTCAATACAGCAAGCCCTGATGGGATCAGTCCCAAGAATCTAGAACATTTAGAAATGCCAGGTCCCTGTTGGGAGGAGACCCCCCTGCAAACAGGAAGAAAGGCAGCAGGGGGACTCCATGTTTGCCTGCTCCACCAAAGCTGTTCTTGCCAAGGGCAAGAAGACCTCCACCAAAAAAGAAAGACACCTGGACAACAAGTGCCTCCTGATAATGATGCAAGTACCACTCACGAGGTTCTATTGTCCAAAACCGGGAAAAAAAAGAAAAATCAAACCTGAATCTGATAAGTCCTCCAAATCAAACTGCCAGAGAACAAAGCAACATGGTTAAAGACACCAGAGGGGCCAGCAAAAGCCAGCGTCAAAAATTCGAAGGATTTATTGTCTAGTTTTTACATGTGTGTGCATGCACACACAAAGTTGAACAGTTACAGATTTTAAAAGCCTAAAAGAGGGCCATCTGGGTGGCTCAGTCATTAAGCATCTGCCCTCAGCTCAGGTCGTGATCCCAGGATCCTGGGATGGAGCGCCTCACCTTGGGCTCCCTGCTCAGCGGGAAGCCTGCTTCTCCCTCTCCCTCTGTCCCTGCTTGTTTTCCCCTCTCTCACTGTCTCTCTCTCTCTGTCAAATAAATAAATAAATAAATGCCCAAAAGAGTGTATCAGATGGACACAATGTATATGGGTTTTTCTTTTTTGGGGGGATACTGACTGAAATAAGCTACTTGTAAAAAGACACATGAGATAATATAGAAAATACAGACAATGACTAGGTATTTGGCAATGTAAGAATTAGTACTAATTTATAGCTATCATTATTGCATTATTGTGGTTATTCTAAAGAGTTCTTCCCTTTTTTTGAGAGTTCTTACTTCTTAGACATACTGGAGTTTTTGTAGCAAAATGATATAATATGTGGGACTCGCTTTAAGACAATTTGAGGGAGAACAATAGGGGTGGAGATCAAATAAGATCAGTCAGTTGTTGAAGCTGGGTAATTGGTATATGGCAGTTATTATACCAGTCTCTCTGCTTATGTATTTGCTTAATACATAATAAAATACATAATAAATAATAAATACATAATAAAAGGCTAAAGAGAGAGAGAATTTCTTAGCAAAGTGCCCCAGGCAGCCATAGTCAACCAATCAGAGTTGAGATGATAGAGCAGCCTTCTCTGCTCAGCTCTGGGCTGGGGCATGGTAATCCTGACAAAGAGGCTGTGAACCAGGAAAGAACCCAGCTGTCTTAAAGGTGAGTCTGTTCAGATAGGGTCAGAAATCTGATCCTTAGAACCTGGCTATTTTTACAGAAGGCTTGCTTACTTGCTTTCCTTCTTTGTGCGTGTGTGTGTCTGTGTCTTTTCGTTGTTACTACTTTTCTCCCTCAATCTTTGGTAAAATTCTTTTATGAAAATTACAAATTCCTTCAGAGGTAATCAGAAGGACCAGGGGAAGCTGGGTTCAATCACTAAATGCTGAGACCTGCACTCTCATACCCAGCCCTCTTCTCCCACTGGCTCCCAACCTGCTAGAAACTTCGCCTTTCCCTCCTAGCAGGGAACTGGGAGAAACTTCTCTGGGGCATCTAACCACTCCAGGAGACATATTTTGAAGGCAATGAAATGGATAGAGGCCTGGGAGGAGCTGGAGACTTCCAACTGACCATCCCCATAAGGACCAGATTTATAGAGCATATAACAGGGTTTGAAGTGAAACATTTGTTTGCCTATGTGCAGTTTGGAGCAAGCTGCATTTCCATGTTATCATGTTTTTACATTTTTAAGGAGACTGGGCTACGTGTGTTTGCCTCCTCTCCCAGATTCCACGAGGAGTGGGGGTCGGGGGGGCAGCCCAGCCTGGAGCAGGAGGGGATATGAGGCATGATTGTAGCTCTTGGTATCTAGAACAGAAGTGCCAGTTTTGACCTGGAGGCCACATAATATATTTTAAAAACTGGGCTTTCAAGGTTATTCATACAGCATGAGACTCACAAATAACATCCCTTAGCCTCTCAATAAGTACCCAATTTGATGTAACTTTGCCTTATTCTCATCCATTGCTTACTGTTACCTTCATCTAAGTGTAGCTTCCTTTTCTCTTCTGTTTCTATTAGGTTTCTATAATAATAACGAAATTTTCTTTCCTTGTCGAAACCAAAACACAGCTGTTGTGAATCTTTTGTTCAGAATACCTCTTCTGGATATTTAATTTTCTCTCTTTCTATGACTTCTGTTATCTGGACTCTGGCATTTGTACTTCTACTGCCATACCTCTTAACTTCAATTCAAAATTTCCTAATTATTTATTCTTCACTGCTTCCTTCCGTAAGACATCTGATCTTGCAATATTAATTGTACCCATTCTATTATTTATCCCATCTGTTGTGTTATTTCAACTATTGTATTGCTCACATTTAATATTTCCTCTCACTTCTTTTTATGATTCCTTATTCTTATATTATTAATATCTTCCCTGCTTCCTTAAGTGTATTTATTGAGGTTATTTTAAATTATTGATCCATCTGTTCTAATACTTCAAAAGATATGTGTTATCGCCTTTGTTACTTTCTTTTGAGAAACTTGTTTTCCTCAGGTGTCTAGCTTTTTTGGCTTGTGAGTTCATATTCCCCACAAAATTCCAACCACTCTGTCTGATAGTGAGTTCAGGGAAAGAACAGAAGTTCAAACTCTGGTCCTTGTCAGCCGTGTGAACATAAATGGAAGGGAGAAGATGAGCCTACGATGAGCACCAGAACCACAAGTAATCACACCTGTGTGCTCTTACCCCACTTTTCTACTTTGGATCCCATGGAATGGGTGGTCTCTTGGGTTGTGACCCCCTAGCCCTGGGAGTGTAGAAGAGGAAAAGTAGAGAATAAATTCAGGAGGCCAGTCAGTTCCCAGTGACTTTCCCAGTTACCCCAACAAGACCTGTTCTCTGTCCAAATAGTACCCCAACGACACCTAATTAAGCTCGATTTTCACAGAGTGAGGGAGGACATGATGTTTTCCCAAAAGCAACAGAGTAGGGACAGGCCAAATCAAAATTAAAATAATATTCTGCCCCAAATTAAACAGACACTTTCGTCTCTTTGCAGCTTTTTAAGTTAATAAGTATCTCAAATACACACAGACACACATACACATACAGTGTCTTATCATCAGATTCCAGGGTCCTCTCCCAGCCTGTGACCCTAATGTCTAGGTAGCTACAACACTGTCCATGTTGAAATCCTCCCCATTTTCACAACCCACCAAAAAATGCCACTTCCTTCATTAAGCCTTCTCTGAACACCATGGCAAGATCCTCTCCTCTCTGAACTCAGCCCACATTGGCAACAACTTTTATAGGTCCTGATCGCTTTCTACCACACAATTTCATTATTTGTATATCTATCACATCTCCTCTGCTCATTCATGTGGCCTCGAGGAATGCTACTTTGCTGAAACAGGCCCATGATTCAAAACACCACAAATTCCCAGTGGCATCCTCTAGGCTCACTTTAGATGATTCTCATACACAGAAGCCACATATTTGCCCTTCTAAATGGCCCCGAGCCACTGTCCTGAACACGGGTCCACCACATCCAGAGCAGTGACCTGAGGAGCACCAGGATCTCACATGCTGACAGGTCAATGAATTAATGGCCATAGACCATTTCCTTCAACTTTACATACACGACAAAACAGAGCCACAGAAACCAAGAGTCCAAAGTGACCAGATTTAGAGATGACAGCAACAGCCTCTGACTCTCTTCTGTGATTGTTTTCCTGGAGAACAGTACTCAGTCAGGGAAGGCCTTCTCACAGGACAGAAGAGCAGGCTAGAAAAAGCCTGTCCTCCTGATCTTTCAGAGGACCCAACTTCCCCAACATTTTCGGTATTTTTGTTGTCATATTTTACCTGTTCAGCTAAAGACAGCGGTTGTCCTCTTGTTAAGTTGGCAAACACAGTTAAGAACTGTTGCCCCATGGTCCTGAAGGATCTAATCTCCAGCCACCTGCCCAATGTGTGACAGGAAGCTCAGGAAAGAGCCAGGTGAGGCCTGGAACAAAGCAGACACAAATGCACACATCAGAACTTCCCCCCCATCTGTCTTCGTAGGGCCCTTCTGCACAAGAAAGTTCCACCTGGTGGGCTCTTACAGAGTCTACCATGCTTGTTCAGGTGTAACCTTATGGTGACCCCTGACCCTCCTGGTACCAGGCTTGTTCTTTATACTCACAGTTATTCTCATATCATCATTCTGTGCTATTTGCTCCTATATCTGTTTCCTCTACCAGACACTGAAAATGACAACACTGAAGGGAGGAGGATGGTGATGTCAGGCCACAGGGCGGCCTGGGGTGGGGGTGGTCATTGTTCACTACCACAAAGTGGGTGTTTTCATCATCCTGGTACCCTCAGAACTCAGGAAGGGCTTCAGAAACTAATACAGGATGCCCTTTGGCCCCGCGGCCACAGCTCTCTGGGCTCCGGGTGGTAAGGTCCCGCCCCCTTGCCACCCCCTGCCAAGGGACCCGGGTTTAGGGAGAGCGGACTCCAGCACCTAGCGCAGACAGATAAACCAGAGAAATGAAACCCGCTCCTGGCCTCTGTTCCAGGCGTTCCCGCCGACTTCACTGGGTTCTGCATCCGGCTCGCGGAGGCTGGTAGAACCAGGAGGGCCGGCGCCCTCGCCCAGCGCGCATGCGCAGTCGTCGGCGCGGGGGCGAAACCCCCTTGTCTCTTGAGCTCGCAACCAGCAGGGGGCGACACGAGGACGCCTCCCTGCTTGTGGCCAGGAGCTAAAAACGTTGTGGCTGGAGGGTGGGCTGGCACCTCACTGGAGCCGCGAGGAAGAGAAGAGAAGCGCCCAGCTTCTCCCGGTAAAATTAGCGGAAGGATAGGACGTGGCAGTAGAGAGCATGCTGGCGCGACCCCCGCCGTCCCCGCCACCCCATACCGAGCGCTTGCATGCTCCCCCCCACCGTCAGCGTGGTGTGGCAAGGGGTTGAGAGGTGCAGTGGCTGAGGAAACAGGCTTCGGCCTGAGACTGAAAGACTTTCAGCCTCACCGTTTACTCTGATTTTAGGCACCTTATCTGGCCTGAGCCCTGGCTTTCCTACCTATTAAATGGGGGTAGTAGACCCCACTTCACTGGGTCATTATGGAGCTCGCAAGCACACAAGTAAGTGCATAATAAATGTTAACCCTTATCAGCGCTTTTCTTCGTACAACATTGTTGCTTGTCTGTGCATATCTGTCCTCCCCCCAGGAACCCCCACCCCGACCCACCACAGGCGCTGACTCGGTGAGTCCCCTGGGTACATAGTGTGGGTCAGTCAACTTGGTATTACCATGCACAGCACCAGCCCTGGTAAAAAATAAAAAAAAAATAAAAAAATAAAAAAAACTGCTCAGGGAGCCAGGGAGAAGCCAAGGTGCTGAGTTGGGATGAGATCCCAAAGGGTCCACACGGGGTACTACAGAGCCCCTGCTCAGACCTCAGTCCAAATCATTTGCTCAGATCCGCAGACTCCAGCCCCATGGAACCCAAGGGCTTTGCTCTGTCCCAGCAGCCTAACCTCTCTGCTGTGTGGAAGGATGGGCTGCTCCCTCCCTGAACCCCCCTGGTCCACCTAGCCCTCAGAGGGCGTTTAGTCCTCCCCAGAGTGCTTTGTCTGGGTCTCCACCCACCTCTGTGTCTCTGACTCTGCCCAACTCTTATCTGTGCTTGTGTCTATCACTACGGATGTAGATTGGAAAAGGAGGGAACACCACCTTTCTAGCTCCTGCTTGAAGTTGGTATATATGATTAGCCCTACTCAACTCTCTCCCCAAAACACAGCTGGAATCTCAGCCCTTACCTCAACCTGCAGCCTGTGAAAATTCTACTCTTCTGTTCACTGCACAGCCCCACTCAGGCTCAGCCCAAAGGGATCTCCCTAGAGGGGTTGCAGAGCCCTGAGGGACTGCTGGCAAGGAAAATGTGTCCTATTCAGGAAGAGATGGCTGGTGAGAGAAAGGTCCCGGGGACCCTCCACTGGAGAGTTTCCTTAGTGAGCCTGAGGCCAGGGAGCCCTGGGCACTGTCTTCTCCCTTATGGCTCAAAGGCTGGTCCACCTCTAACCCACACAGCACCCTTGTGAAAATTAGCTCAGGCTGGTTTTCAGTCCCCATTTGCCTTCTAGGCCAGGTGACCTTGTATAATGCCCAACCTGCTCAAACTGTACATGGCAGAAAACTGCATCCTGCTAGTCACCAGATGTCTGCTTGTCCACCTTTACACTCCAGGACAGTGATGAGGGCAGTGACTATTCCTATAAGAACATAACATTTCTGGGGCACTTGGGTGGCTCAGTGCGTTAAAGCCTCTGCCTTCAGCTCAGGTCATGATCCCAGGGTCCTGGGATAGAGCCCCACATCGGGCTCTCTGCTCAGCAGGGAGCCTGCTTCCCTACCTCTCTCTCTGCCTGCCTCTCTGCCTACTTGTGATCTCTGTCTGTCAAATAAATAAATAAAAGCTTAAAAAGAAGAAGGAGGAGGAGGAGGAGGAGGAGGAGGAGGAGGAGGAAAAGAAGGAGGAGGAGGAGAAGAAGGAGGAGGAGGAGGAGGAGGGGGAGGAGGAGGAGGAGAAGAAGAAGAAAACACTTCTTACTCCCATCAGGGGACCCACAGCTCCCTGTGCCTCCCTCCAAAGCTTCTGACTCTGAAACTGATGGAATCTACAGGGTAGCTTCCAGAAGCTTGTGGCCTCTTCCCCCACTGTTTGTCATGTCTTGGCCAGGATGTTTGAATACTCCTCTGTGCTCAGCTCTGCTCCCAGGCACAGTCCTCACTGCCTAACTAGACCTGCAATGCTTTTTTATATTTCTAAAACCAGGAGACCCTCTCAGTGATGCCTTCTTTCTTCCCAAACTCTTGTCTCTGAGTCCCTGGTCTTCATGACTTTTGATTTGGCAATGGTTTCTTAGATATAATACCAAAAATATAAGCAACCAAAGACATAGATAACTGGACTTCATTAGAAGTAAATATTTTTGTACTTCAAAGAACACTATCAGGAAAGTAACAAGACAACCCACAAATAGGAGATTTATTTGCAAATCATATGTCCAATAAGGGACTTGTACCTAAAATATACAAACAATCCTTCCAACTCAATATATAATGACAAGTAACCCAATTAAAAATGGGCAAAGGATCCAGTAAACATTTCTCAAAAGATATACAGATGGCCAACAGACACATAAAGACAGTCAACATCATTAATCATCAGAGAAATGCAAATCAAAACCATAATAAGATACCATATCACACCTACTAGGATGACTGTAATCAAAAAGACAGGTAATAACAAGTAACAACAAAAATGTAGGGGAAACTGGAACCCTCACATATTGCTGGTAGGAACATAAAATGGTGCAGCCATTTTGGAAAACAGTGTGGCAGTTTCTCAGATAGTTAAACACAGAGTTAACTCTTCAACCCAGCAATTCCACTCCTAGGTATTTAGCCAAGAGAAAGGAAAACATATGATCACACAGGAACTTTTACTAGAACATTCACTACAGCATTATTAATAATAGTAAAACAGTGGAAACAACCCAAATGTCCATCGACTGATGAGTGGATAAAATGTGGTACACCCATATAGTGGAGCATTCTTTGGCATTAGTAAGGAATAAAGGACGGCTACACACTACAAGGTGGATGAATCTTGAAAACATGATGAGAAATGCGAAAAGCTGGTCACAAAAGACCACATGTTATACAATTCCACTTGTATGAAATGTCCAGGAGAGGTAGGTAAAGCTACAGACACAGAAAGTAGATTAATAATTGCCCAGGGCTTGGGGCGCCTTGGTGGCTCAGGCTCTGCCTGAGCTCTGCCTTTGGCTCAGTTCATGATCTCAGGGTCCTGGGAATGAGCCCCGCATCAGGCTCTCTGCTCAGCAGGGAGCCTGCTTCCCCCTCTTTCTGCCTGCCTCTCTGCCTGCTTGTGATCTCTGTCTGCCAAATAAATAAATAAATAAATAAGATATATTTTTTTAATTTAAAAAATAATTATAATTGTCCAGGGCCTGGAGGCATAGGAGGATTGAGTAGAATAGCTAAAGGCTTCTCACTGGAGTGATGAAAATGTTCTAAATTTGATTGTGGGCATGGTTGCACAACTCTGTGAGCATACTAAAAACTGTTAAATTATATACTTTATGAGACTGACGCGCTACCTACTGCACTAACGAGACACCTAAATTATATACTTTAAATAGGTGAACTGTATGGTATGTGAATTATATCTCAATAAAACTGTCACCAAAATACAAACAAACAAACAAACAAACAAACAAACCCAGAAGCCAGCTGAAGGGAATCCCATTGACTACATTTGGGATAATTTGCAAATTAAGTAAATAGTGATAGTAACATGTCATAACCCATTGAATAAAATATGAGTTCATTGTACTTATTGTTATAAACAATGCTTAGAAAATTTGATGAGTAATAGGATAGATATTTCTGTAGTCTCTGAGTTCCTCCCTGAAAAATATTTATTAATTACAAAGGAAAAAAATACTAACTTTAGAGAGAGAAACTTGGCAGACACAACCTCACTGAAATGACCAAAATTAACATCACCTGTAACCGGATAACTAAAAATCATGTCCCCTGTGATAGGATAGAGTAAGAGAATTCAGCACCAGTTCAGTGGTATTCCCACCAAAGATGCATAATCTAAATTGCATCACAAGAAAATATCAGACAAACCCATACTGACAGAACTTACATATAATAACTTGCCATGGAAGTCAAGGAAAGACTGGAACTATTACAGATTGAAGATGAATAAGGAGACAATGACGATCGAATACAGCATGTGAACTTGGCTGGATCTTTTTGCTATAGAGAGATTGTCAGGACAACTGGCAAACCTTAATGAGGTCTAACTCGTCCATGGCAATAATGTTGATTTTATTATTTTGACGATTCCATTACGATTATGAGGGACATGCAAAATAAAGCTTATACCAGCAATTGATGCTCAGATGGGGCCAGGGCAGGGTGAATTCTTTATAACTGACAACTTCTCCATAAGTTTCAGATTGCTTAAAATAAAACAAGAAACCATAATACATTAAAAAAAATACCTGGGCCATGTTCTTTAAAAAATATCTGTTACAAAAAGGCAAAGAAAAGTTGATGAACTGTTTCCAGCTAATGGAGACTAATAAGAACTCGAAAACTAAATGCAATGAGTGATACTGGATTAGATCCTGGATCAGAAAAAAAAATAATAAAGGACATTATTGGCACAAGTGGCAAATTTTGAATAAAATCTGAAGATTATATTATAGTATGTTAAATGTCCTGATTTTGATCATTGCCCTATGGCCACGCAGGTGAAGGACTTCCTTCTTTGGAAATATAAGGAGACATGGGGTTTGCCACTTACTCTCCAATGTGTCAATAACAATAATTTTCTAAATATATAGGGAAAGAG